AACATAAACAATGACAAGCAATTCGCCATTTAAATCGCCTAAGGTATACGTAAATACAGTCAAAGTACCAGGCGCACAGAAATGAGTAGAAGGCTGCTAATTCTTCTTGTAGAGGGAGAGAAACCTGCACTATGTGACCTTGAGTCAAAAACATAAACAATGACAAGCAATTCGCCATTTAAATCGCCTAAGGTATACGTAAATACAGTCAAAGTACCAGGCGCACAGAAATGACAAGAAGGTTGCTAATTCTTCTTGTAGAGGGAGAGAAACCTGCAATATGTTATCTTGACTTAATAACATAAACAATGACAAGCATTTCGCGGCTTAAATTTCTCTATTTATAAGAAAATGTCGCCGAAATACCAGGCGCACAGAAATGAGTAGTAGTATGACTCATGGCATTTTAAACTGAGTTACTTAACAGAGAAGTGTTAATTAACAGAGATATGTTACTTAACATAGATATGTTATTTAACCATCTTATTTAACATGTCAATGTTACTTAACATATAAATGTTATTTAATAGAGAAATGTTACCTAACATGAAACTGTTAGTTAACATGGAAACGGTACTTAACATTGGACTGTTAATTAACAGTGTAGACCCAGGGGACTGTTATTTCACCGTATTTACAATTTTTACTTAACAGTATAATAACAGAGAACTGTTGATTAGCAGCGTGAAAGCAAAACACTGCTATTCAGCATAGGGAGAGGTGTTTTAGTGCAGATTCTATACATGTAGGTATTCAATACTCTCACAAGGCTCACAAGGGCTATACCTATGGGTTGGTATGGCCAGAGGTAGGAAGGGGCGAGGGGCAGCTGGGAAAGAGACATACATACATACATATTTTGCGATTCAAATTCAAGCGCCTATGGCACGAATTCGCTTCTATAGGTTTGCTAGGACTACATAATTAGCAATATATAGCCAAGTATATGAAAGTCAACTAGAAACCCTTAAATATTACGACAGGATGTGACAAATTTTGCGAGCACATACAAAATCCGCCATGAATCAGTCGATTGCATTTAAAATTAAAATTGCACTGATTTTGTATCAAAATCAATTTAACGACACTTTTAACTGTGACCCTTATCAAAATAAAATAACTGTTGCAGTCAATTTTAGCCAACGTTTTGTCTTGATTAAGTGATGTTCGCTCTTAATCCATAGGCATGTTCCATAATGGAAAGCAATATCTCATATTTATAAGTGAGTTGCATTATTTTGCTGACAATCATTTTTAATAAAATGAATTTAACAGAGGAAGACAGAGAACATTTATGACTCACATGTTTGTCTCAAAAATTCAAGTTATTTAATAATCATGCCATGAGTCAGAGTTTTATGTAGAAAATTCCAAAATGAGCAAGTGAAAATTATGATTGATTTTTGTTCTCTGTGCTCTGACAGCAGCAACAAAAATATGCGACAAATATGAAAGGCAATCTAACAGTAATTCATATAAATATGATATGGAATTTGATTAACAGTTACGGCGCACATTTATGCATTCAAATTGATCAACTAGAGCTGAGCGCGTGTCGTGTTTGTGGCAGTGACACGAGCACGGTCAGGTCTATAGAGTAATCGATACTTTTATTGTTGTATTATTATTATTATTGTTATTTAATTTGAATTGCACTTTTTAATCACTTTAACTAGTTCACTGAGTCACTGAATAGGGAAATTCGCAAATAACCGAAAAGAGAAATCAAAAGTTGAGTTTACTTGAAAAGGCTTTGCCTACTTACAGACGCGTGTTTGTATGTGTTTATCTTTTCAATGGCAATTCGCAGGAATTGTAGCCAATTGTTGTTGTTGTTGTTGTTGTTGTTGCTCCTGGACATCGTTGGGCAATTTGTCAACTGTTTTGTTGCGCTGGCACTGGAGTGGAAGTGGACAATCGAACTGGCTCACAATTACACGCACGCACACACAGAGAGCAGGGCACAGGAGACATGAAGTAGTAGTAGTAGTAGTAGTAGTAGTAGTAGTAGTAGTGGTGGTAGTAGTAGCAGAAGTGGAAGAAGAAGAATTGGTAGCAAGCGCAGCGGAAACGGAAGTGAAAGCCGAAAATATCAAACAGGAAACGGCATTGGGGCAAAGGCGTCTACCGATTGTTGATATCGCAGTTATCGCTGTCCTAGTTCATGACGGCCGCATGCCCGTATAGTGTACGGGCGTATCCCTGCTGAACGAGTGCGGCTTCTTGCCGGACTGACTCTGGCCGGAGGTGAGGGTGACAATGACCACGAACACACTGGCGCAGACCAGGCACAGCAGCACCGTGGCCAGGACAATGCAGACGATTCGCTTCCGTTTGCGATCCGCCTCCTCATCCTCGTCCGTCTCATCGCTCAGCGATTTCTTTTTGAGCTTGTGCGAGCCGCCACTGAGCGAGGCCTTGCGGCCCGCCGCCAGCTTATGATGGAAGGGACGCAGCACCTGGGCCGCAAAGGCGGCATCCGTCAGCTCCTGCTCGTAGGTCAGCGAGGATTTGCGCTCGAACGACGGCCGCTTCTCCTCGATGAAGGCGGCGGCCACCTGTGCCGCAGATATCGGCCGTGGACTGCGCTTGATCTCGTCCACGTTGACAACGCCGGCGGCACTGACGCTGGGCACCGCCGTCGACAGCGGACGGCTGTTGCGCCGGTGGGGTGAACTAAGCTCGAAGTCATCGTCCGCAGCACCGCTGGCATCGCCGCCAATGAAGCTCTTGGACTTCTTGGTCGCACTCAGCGCCTCCCGGTAGCTGCGCAGTCGCACGCTGGCGCTGTGCAGCGCCTTGGCCTGCTTGACGCTGGCGCTGGCGTTGGTGCCCTGGAAGGCGGCGGCGGCCGCCAGGACGCCGGGCCGGTGCACGGTCAGCTCCTCCAGGTTGCTGGGCGACAGGTACAGTGAGCGTCCGTGTTGCGCGCCGCGCTTGAAGTGGTACGCGGCGCTGGCAGCGGCGGCAGCGCTGTGCAGCTTGCTGGTGGACGGACGGCCGTCCAGCTCCAGGCTGTGGGTGCTCTGCTGACGGGAGTGGGGCACATGGTGTGGCTTCTGCTTGATGCTGTTCGAGGCGGAGGCGGCGGGCGGATGGGTGGCGCTGTGACCGGCGGCGACAATCAGACCAGGCGCCGTCTCATCAAACGAACCGGAACTCTTGCGCTGTATCCGCTGCACGGCCACAGCGGCGGCTGCCAGCTCTGCCACGCCCAGCTCGTCCATTTTGGTATGGCTATTGCTGCGCGAGCGCGACTCCACAAAGAGCTCATTCTCCAGCGACAGATTCGACTGGGGGAACAGGGAACGGCCGTCGAGCGGTTCAATCAGATCATCGTTCAGCGATGGATGCCGTATCTGCGACTCCACCACCGAGTCGGGCTTGCTGCTCGGCCGTCGGCCGGGATCGTTGAAGGAGCGATGCGATCGACAGCCCCGTCGACTGGGCGAGGGCGAACGGGAGATCTCCTTGCCGCCAGCCGGCGGGCCGGGCATCAGAAAGTTGGCACGCACCGAGCTGGTGCGACGACTGGAGCTGGCCGAGCCAGCGGCGACGGCCAATTGTATTTGCTCCATGGCGGCGGGATCCTGTTGGGCGTGGAAGGAATGCGTTTTCTTCATCTGAAAATTGGTAGACGGATGAACGTCAATTGTGTCTGAGCGCCGAAAGAGATTCTTTTTCAGCTGCAGCTGCTGCTGCTGCTGCTGCTGTTGTTGCTGTTGTTGTTGTTGATGCGTGTGGTGCGGGTGGTGCGGCAGCATATCATCGACATCAATGAATTGAATTGGTGATGTGCTGCCGCTGCCGCCCAGCGTTGAGCGGCCCAGGCCAAGCGACATGCCCAGACCCACATTGTCGCCCAGGCTGCTGCTGCTGACCAAATAAATATCTGGCTGTGGTTGCTGTTGTCGGTGGTGCTGCTGCTGCTGCTGCTGCTGTTGATGTTGCTGCTGCTGCTGCTGCTGCTGCTGGCCAAGCACTGGGCTGACCGCATGCGAGGTGGGTGAGCTGGTGGAGCTCGAGTGCGTGTGCTGACGGTGGTGCTGATGTGGCGCATGCGTATGTGTTGGCAACTGGTGGTGTCGTGCAGCGGCTGCTTGTGCGGCCAGCTGCTGAAAAGTGTGCATATGCAGTTGTTGCTGCTGTTGTTGTTGTTGTTGGTGGTGCTGTTGTTGTTGTTGTTGTAGGTGGTGGTGCTGGCGTGCAGATAGTGCCGGCGATACGGAACCGCTGCCACCAGCTACATGCGTATGTTGTTGTTGTTGTTGGGGTATATGTTGTTGTTGTGGTGGGAGTGCTAGGGTCTGCGGCGGTGCAGACGATCGCACGGGCAGCGGCGACGCCGAGCGGTGGATCAGCGGCTGCTCATGCACAATAAAGCCATCGTCTAAATCTAAATCAAGTTCACTAGCTATCGGTGCATAATTATCAATGGCCATCGACAGCGAGCGGTGGATGGGCTTCAGCTTGGGTGGTTTCTTTTTGGTGGCGGGATTATCAAAGGAGGATGTGCCCGAGGTATGCTCCTCATCCGCATCGCCGGCAATCAAATACGGATCATAGCTATGGACAGATACCACATGCTGATGTCGCGACTGTTGCTGCTGCTGTTGGTGGTGCTGTTGATGGTGGTGGTGCTGCTGCTGCTGCTGCTGTTGGTGGTGGTGCGACTGCGACTGTTGCTGCTGACCACCGCTGGTGCCGCGCTCCATGCGGTAGTAATACTGCCGTGGGTATCTATGGTAGTAATGTGCAATTGTGGTGCTGGTATGTGGGTGGTGTGGCGAGCAGGAGTGGGGTAATCACACAGACACTGACCTGGTCGTTGGCTAACTGTAACGGTGGTGGTAGTGGTGGTGGTACTTGTTATTCGATATCGACTTCGAGTTCGAAATTGAGTACGAGTTCGAGTGGTTCGAGTGGTTCTTGATTGTTGGCCCGTTGCTTTGGCTGCGCTGTTGATTGCTAGTGGTGCTGTGGTGCTAGTGCTTAGTAGTGCTAGACACCCAATGAACAGGGCTGCCGAGGTGAGAATAAAGAGACACACAGAGACAGAGAAAGAGAAAGACAGAGAGAAAGAAAGAAAGAGAGAGAGAGAGAGAGCAAGAAAGCTAGTAGGTGTGTGTAGTCGGAGTTGTTGGGGGGCGGGTGGGCGTTGCTTTGGATTGCAGTCTAAGGACAAATACACACACACACACAGAGTTACAGACACACACAAGGACTTGGACAGAGACGCTAAACAACGAGATGTTAAATGTGCAGGATATTCAGGATATATGCAGCATTAAAGGCAGCTAAGTTGTTGTTGTTGTTGTTTGTTGTTGATGTTATGTGATTGTTGTTGTTTTCAATGCGCTTCCTTTTTGTGATGGCTGTTGTTGTTGTTGTTGTTGTAATGCAACTCGCTTGTTTAATTGTTAACGATTTTGTTTTCTACTACTTAATTTTGGTTTTTATTGTCACATTGTGTATTGATGATTGTTGTTGTTGTTGTTGTTGTTGTTATTGTTTTTGATGTAGGTATGCTTTTGCCTTAATTGTTGTTGTTGTTGTTTTTTAGCTACACTCATTAAAATGGGCTAATATAAAAGCACAACTAGAAGTAGACAAGAGAAATACATAAAGAAATAACATATTAGCAAGCTGGACGGGTTGTGTCAAGGATCTTGGGATGTGGTAGTAGTCGACTTGGTGGATGGTGGTTTGGTAGTGGTAGTGATGGTGGTGGTGGTGGTGGTGGTGGTATTGGTTGCTTGGCTTAGGTGGGCGGTGCAGCTTGCCGTGCTGTACTCATGTGTAGATTTGGTGTGTGGCATCTAGTTAACTTAAAAGCAAAAAGTGTTAAGCAAAACTAATATGAAATACACTGAAAGAAAGAAAAAATACAATGCTCTGTTGCAAATTGAGTCGAGTGTTAAAAAGAAAACACAATAGAGAGCTCTCTTAGAAGATATACAACTCGTACTTCATTTAAGTTAGCCTACTACAATTATATTTGTTATAATTGCTTTAAAAGCCATTTACAGTGTTGCAAAACTCATCAAAAAGAGCTCAACTTGGGCTTCTTTCATATCTCTGTCTTTATCAATATTTAGCCTATGATTCGCTGCATATATATACATATGTATATATGCAGACATACTTATAAATATATACATATTTAATTTCCCCCCTCCGTTGAATAAAATTCCTTCAATTGCCATTTCCATGGCTACCCCCACCTTCCCCGCTGTGGAACTCGACGTAATCCCCATTGGGTTTAATCAATTTGTACTCAGCTTAAGCAATGACACGCCCCATTGCCGCGACAACATTTTAAAGGCAAGCGATGCCAGAACGTAGCAATTCCATTGCCCAAGTGCCAAAGTAGCTAAATTCCCGTTTTAGCCTGGACTTATCTATTTAAAGTACTTGCTCGGCAGCTGTCTGTGTGTGTGTGTGAAAAAATTTGCATTACAATCCTGAAATTTGCCATCGGCGCCCACAGCCAGGATTCGGTCACGTTGTCCTTTTGGGATGCCGATGCGCAATGCGAGTTAATCGAATTGAATCTATTTGGACAGTTCGTAAACCGAGCCAATGCAAGTCGGGGCGGGTCAGTGTTCAGGGCGTGGGCGTTGAGTATCGCGCAACTCGTTTGTTGGCCATACACAGACACACACACACACACACTTATACACATAGACACACACAATTCATCATTTTGGGGGCATGTACCTTTGGCAAGCCTAGGCGAGAGGCGGTGGGCGGGGCGAGGCGAACGTTTTGCATAATTTAAAACGACAAGCCACAGTCGGTGGCTCCACAGTTGAGCTTGGGCAACGTCGGTATGTCCTTTGCCACTGTCACTGTCACAGCGTTAATTTTTCAAAGCTCATTGATGGATGAGTGCGCCAGTTGACATTTATGTGCCTAGCCACACACTGGCACACACACAAACACACACACACACACACAGATAGCGTAACTCGAGCGAAAGCTGTTCAAAAATTAACGCTCTGCGACTGAAAAACTTGTTCGTGTTTTCCAACGAAACGAGTTAAACATATTAAAATTTGCTTATGCTAAAGGTAAAGAATGAAAATACACACACACACACGCAACTTGGCTAAGAGGCCTTTTGGTATGGGCACGTGTGTGTGTGCGTGTGTGGCAAATGCTCTGAAGACATTTAACATCACGTACATTAAATATGTTTAAAAGAGCTTAAGTGAAATGAAATGTGGCGGTTAGACAGACATATATACATACACATACACATACATATACATGTGTATATATTTAAATGTATAATAATAAAAAAAAGTGCGCGCACACATTACATGCATATACGCGCATTTACCAACACTGAAACACACACACACACTCGCCGTATAAGTAATCAGGCATGTGTGCGTATGACAGCGTCTGGCGTTGGCAACAATGCCAGCTGCGAGGTGTCAGTGTGTGTGTGTGCGTGTGAGGCACAGATCCTTGGATACCCATATCCTTTTGTCTTATAGCAGACTGTGAAAGCAGCAGCAAGCAGCAGCAACAGCAGCAGCAGCAGGAGCAGCAGCAGCAGGAGCAGCAAGCAGCAGCAGCAGCAGCAGCAGGAGCAGGAGCAGCAGCAACAGCAGCTTAGTTCCCGCCTTGAGTAGCGTGCGCGCATTTGAGAATTCTATTTCAGTGGCTGTTTGTGCTCCACGAGCACTTGTCAAATTCCTTCTCATATCAAATCTGAGACGAATTAGATGTAAGTCTTCGTCTTGTAGGTATCCCCTCATGCAAACGAATATTACTCGAGTGGGCAACACACAACAAATCGGATTTGTTTTTTGATATGCTTGATATGCTTGAGCTATTGTAGACGTATCCCAAAAATACACAAGCACACACAGACACAGACACACACACACACACACATGCATAAATATTTATTATGCTGTCTGCTATGATTTAGGTTGCTGCAGTAGCAGCAGGAGTAGCAGGAGTAGCAGCAGCAACAACAGCAATAACAACATACTGTTATTCTTGTCCATTAGCAGAGAACATTATGAATTTCCTGCGAATTATTGCGTATATTTCACATAGTACAAAGGCATTACAGCAGTTTTTGCACACAAATTGGAAATCAGTTCACATATTGGTTCAATTGAATGCCAATTTGTGAGTTCTGGGAGTATTTAGTAATAATAATAGTAGTAGGAGTAGTACTTGGCATAAATCATACAGAAAATCGTATATAAGTTATTTAGATTATATAGATCACATTGCTTCTATAGAGCATATGCAATAGATTCTACAAATTATTGAGATTACCTAGATCCCAAAGAATATAAAAATATATATATAACTGAGATCATAAAGATTATTTGTATTATATTATATGGCCATTAAAGTCACTTAGATAATTTAAATAAAATAGATCATATTTATCATATATGTATATATTTATTTATATATTTAGTTTTTTGATCATTTTATATTATTATATTTATTTATTTTTTTTTTTTTTAATTTAATTGTTATTAATGAGAAGGATTTTTCTACTTAGTAAATCAGGCAGCTTTACTCGTATATACACAACTACATATATACTCGTATATTTGAGCCAGATTTACTTCTCTAAACTCTTCGCCCACTGTCGTTGCGGCAGCGCAGCATTGTGCTGGCCCCGCCCACTAGTTGGGCGCATTTAAATACAATAGATTGCTCCATAAAGATAAGCTATAATTAAAATATTCCAGCCAACATCAGCTGCAAATGATTAGCAAGTTGTGCGGAAGCATGCTCTATGCTCTTTATGCACCCCACCCGACCCGACCCAGCCACCCAATGCCATCCATTCCTTTGCCTTTTGCTGAGTCGTGCGACTCTTTCGAGTACTTGCGGCATATCAGAAACTCAAAGCAGATGCCTTAATTGGCATAAACAATGGTTAATTAACATAAAACTAACAATTCGAAGCCAATTTAAATAGCCATACGTGCGTAATTAGCTGTCTCCCATTGCCCTATCCAGTGCTGCCTGACGGCAACGGCCACACAGTGTTGCATAATGACTGACGGTTGACGGCTGACTGTTGGTGTTGACTGTTGACGGCAGTTGCTGAAATTTCCGGTCTGACTGTTTCGGCCTGTGCCAAGTGTGAGCAATTAATTGCGTTTAATGGCGACCCACAAGCATACCGCACCACAGCATACCACCCGAATCCCGCACACAAAACCATCACCCACAGCCATCATATTTCGTTAAGTGGTAAACGAAGGTTGTGCCAGACGCTATCATCATCAAGCGTCATCGTCGTCGTCGTCGTCGTCGTTTTAATATTATTAAATCCGGCGTGGTTTCCGTTGCGTTTTACGCATATTAATGAAGCCCAAAGCGCTTTCAGTGGTCGCAGTCAGCCAAAAGGACTCGAAATTCGACTCTCAGACTCTGGAACTTCTTCTGCCTTGCACACGGTCTGCCTTGCATAATCCGATTAAATGCCAAACGAATTATGCAGTAAAATGCATTCTTGTCTTTTGGCTGCAAAGCAAGCTGCTCTCTCCTGACACTCAATTTGCTGTACGTATGCTTGTGCGACTAAAATGTTTGCACAGAAGCACATACACATACGCTTAAACCGAGCCGCACTCACACAAAACAAACGCAAATAAACGCTGAATTATTTCTTGCATTTGCTCTGCCATGCGCACAGTGGGTCAAGTATATTCTTCAAATGACATAAATGATGGATTTATTATTTGAAATAATATAATTTAGCTATATATTCTATATAACAGGCATAAGTCATATATAATAACCTCATTCTGTTATGTACATAGTTCAGCTTTGTGGGCCAACAGACGTCTGTTATTTACATAATTTGGCTTTATGGAATAACGTTTCTCTCTTATTTATGCAGAGTAACATATTTCTGTTATTACATTGCTCAGCGTTGTGCAATAACAGACCTCTGTTAGTCTATATAATTTAACTTCTGCAATAACAGACTACTGTTACAGGCCTCTAACTTAACATCCTTTTGTTGTTTACATAGTTCAGCTTCGTGGAATTACATTCTTGTGTTAATGGATTATGCAGCTTCCTTTCTTCTTGGTCTCCGCAGCTAATACAAAAATTCTGCAGAAATGAACTCTGCAGCTAATACAAAAATTCTCTAGAATCTTGTACTACTATTTGTCTATCGCGAATATGATATACACCCTGTCCATGGTGAACACGGCGCAGTGACTGCTGTGCCTGACAGTTATGCAATATTATTTTAAAAACACATTCCAGCAGAGCTCGCTGTCGCTGCTGCAATGTCAGCAGCAAATGGGGCAACAGCGCCTGTTGGCCGAGCTCAAAGGCAACGTCTAAGGCATTTCTGAGTTTCTATTTAATTTGAATTGTTTTGTAAATTGAATGGGCAAACATTTGTGCTGCCCAGCACTGGTCGGAGTGGCGGGTCACGCGCCACTGCTCCACACTGGGGCCATGG